CAAAGCTTCGGTTGCCTTTGCAGCTGCGGTTGCTGCTGCTGTGGCTGCTGGAGCATTGTTTGTCAAAGCTTTGGTTGCCTTTGCAGCTGCGGGTGCTGCTGCTGTGGCATTGGCACCGCTACCTTCTGCACTGGCATCTTTCTCTTTCTGTACCCTGACCTGAGATTCAAACTCTCGCCCCTGTGTAGCAGCAGCCTCTTCCAAGGCAGGCTGGATCTCATGCAACTTTTCCAAGAAGGCCCTGGACATAGAGTTCCTCAATGAACAGCCAAAAACGGGGCAATGCGGGAATGCGGGACTACAAAAAACAGCGACTGCAGACTGCACTGCACCTATTGTTTGAAGAGCAATGACACATGACTTGCTTTGGTTCCCCAAAAAAATCGGTGATTCTGAATTCTGACTGAGGTGAACTGTTTCTCATGGCGTTTGAATGTCAAGTATCCCCTGTCCGTGGCGACCAATGAGATTCAATTTGCTCATAGTCCCTTCATCAACCAGCATGCAGGCCACTCGCAAGCCAACGCTGTTGGTATTGAGAGACTTCTCAAGACAAAGATGGCCTGCCGGTAGGTAAAATACATCCCCTGGGGAAAGGTAAGCTACTCTGAGGGAAGAAGGCACCACGTCTTCCTCCTCCAGCTTGTTGCATGTTGCCTCTGACAGGCCTTCGAAAAACTTCACAGCATCAGTCAGTGTAGGCGGCTGGTCACCAGTACCGTGCAACAGTGATCAACTGTGCCTTGAAACCGAGACCATGCGAGGCCGTGGGCTCCTGGGACACCTCCAACGTGCAGAACGTGAAAGGCATGTTTGCTGGTGCTTCTGCATTCAACCAGGCAGAGGGAGGGCGCTTTGGTGCGGGAGGCTGCAGGCAGTCAGAGTGGCAAAGGGAGTTGGGTGGTCAGGAGGCTCACAAGCTCAAAATGCATGTTATCACTATTTATGAGGCATGCATTTGCAATATTTTGCTATTGTATATACATTGATTTCTTTCCAAACTGGCAGTGCAAGGGTGTTTGGTGACATCCCTGGACAAGCCAACCCAACCAGCAAATCGCATTTCGTACACGAGGTGTTTTGCACATTGGGCCTCACTGATCATCGGCATTTTGCCTTCTTGCAAGGCGCTGGGTGAGTGGAATACCTCCGCTGTGACCACCATGGCTGGCATGTTCGCACGTGCAGCCAGCTTTAACCAGTCCCTGGACAAGTGGAACACTTCCTGCGTGGTGGATATGAGCTACACGTTCCGACATGCCGTTGTATTCAACCAGGCCTCGGGGTCTTGGGCTAGCCATGGCTTAGATCAGTGTATTCCATCGAAAGGTGAACCAGAGATAAACCAACGATGTATAAAGAGTACCATATTATTCTCACTCTTGTTTCGGTCAATACATGTGCTCCATGAAGTTGTTTTGTAAGATTTCTAGGCTTTCGCAGAGTTTTGCCAGTGATTTCGGGAGGATTTTGCAGGTTGATCGCCATATTGAAAACAAGTAGAGATGTTGCACGATTTAAAAGCTCCGCGGAAGGACGAGAGGACGACAGAAGACACTCTGATATATTGATATTTATATAAGCAAGTCCTTTTTAGGGTTCCCAGTATTCCGCATGTTTTTTTCTCCCATTTGTGAGGCCGTGGGCTCCTGGGACACCTCGCAGGTGACCACTGTGAGGAGCATGTTTTACGGAGCCGGGAGCTTCAACCAGTCCCTGGACAAGTGGAACACGCCCTCCGTTGTGGATATGAGCTTTGCGTTCTACGATGCCGTTGCCTTCAACCAGGCCTGGGCAGACAAGGTGTCAGCGTGAGCTTGCATGTCAACCCTGCCAGCTTTCTGATCACGGAGCTGATCAGCCTTGTTGTTGGCATGCCAAGCCCACTCATCGTCAGGGTCAAGTGCAAGAAAAGCTTCAAGTTTGAGATGAGACTTGGTTTTATACAACTGGATAACCCGACTTTTATGTTGCACGGTGGCAGCCCACAAGTCCCCATGGCTATGCCGGCAAACAGAACCAAAAGACAAATGCCTCCAACCTTACACCACAAATTTGGCACCAACAACAACCCGCGGGGGTCCATGCGTGCGCTGCAACAGTTCAACAAACGCAGTTAACCCAGCCCTGGCCCACAGTGTTTGGCCCTACCGAATCCACAAGCAAACCACAGACACCTCCAACAACATCAAACACAGCAGCCAAATGTTGTTTTATTGCCACCACAGCCCACGCACATTTACGCAGTCTGGGGTCTTTGGAATGCACGCCACCAGAGCCATCAGTGCCAAACCAGACGTCATCCCAAATGAAGCCAGGTTGCAGGAAACATTTGGTAGCAACAAGCCGCGATCCCAAAAGCACTCCTGCCCTGGGGAATCCACCAAGTGGCCGCAAGTGGCTGCAAATGACTGCAAAACCAAAAATCAAAATGTACATCATTTGCTCGCTCTTTGGTATGTTTGTCAGTCCCGGTAAGGATATCCACGACAGAAGGTAGAGCCCAAGGCCACCATGCCATAAACTCTTTAATGGGGTGCCGTTGTCTTCAATCAGGCCTGTCGCCTTTGACCATTGAGCACCTAGCATGATAGCAAATTGTCTGAATGAGAATAGCCGTAAAATGAACTTGAGTTTTGCCAGTGATTTCGGGACGAATTTGCAGGTTGACCGCCATTTTGAAAACAAGTGGAGATGTTGCACGATTTAAAAGCTCCGCGGAAGGACGAGAGAAGACACACTGATACATACACATGTCCTTTTTTAGGACTTGACTAGCCTAGCTGTGTCCCAGGCCTGGTGCAAGAACCAGCCCGCCGACTTGTTACACTTTAGTGATACCTTCAACCAGCCCTGTGGGCTTAGGCCCCCAAACTCGAGGTACCTTGCCCAACCCGTGCAAAAGGGACGAGAGTTCACAATTTTTAAAAATACAAATTGGTTACTCCCAGTGTTTTTTTGGATACGGAATGATACGGACACGTATTTTTTCTCCCATCTGTGAGGCCGTGGGCTCCTGGGACACCTCGAAG